TTTTCCTTTCGCGAAAATCACGGTACCTGGCTTAACTTAATACGCTCACACTCCAATTTACCTTTGTGACTAATCAAAAAATTAAAATAAAATTTACTTACTTTGCTTTACCTGGAAAAGACAAAAATGATGGTATCGTTTATCATTTTTCTCAAGAATTCAACTAGAAATTCCGACCTTTCCGTAAAAATCCTCGAACGCAGCAAAATGGTCTGGCGGGATCGTAGCAGTGGCGTTGAAACTTCTCGAATGGAAATAATGGCGAAAGCATAACCGCCGTTTGGAATTCACCGCGGTTAAAGAAAAGTTTGATAACGAAAGTAAAGTTTTACAACAACGTTCGATAATCTCTGCATAATCTTTTTCTCGATCAGATCACCGACCAGAAGTAGCACTAGTAGTTCGAAGGAGATTTAAAAATTAATTTCAACTTCGTGACCGAAGCAAATTACAAAAGGATTAAAACATGTTCGCGTAACGTTGCCTCCTGAGGATATCGCAACGACGTTTCCATTAAAGTAGAGTCATCCGATGAAGCACAGATCCTCCGAAGATTTTTCATTTAAAAAAGAAAAAAACAAATCCTAAGAAATGTCACGGGTAAATTTCTTCGATTCGAAGCTTTCAAGCTTCACAATACACACGGTACCATCGCACAGGATAAAACTACGAATGCTCCCAAGAAGAGTTCCGAACACAAAAGGAGCTCACGAAGATTAAGTCTGCCTTATACGAGATTATACACGGCAATAAGACGAAATCCCTGATTTTCTATTTTAAGAAGCATCAAGGGACTACTCTAAGCCGATCTCTCTACTGCTTGTCCTAAGAAAACTTCGAAATCCTCGGCATCCACTTGTTTTCCTATACCGAGCGCAGAATTTTCAAGTATTTTTTATTCTCCAAGCTACGTTCCGAAAGTCCTCGTCGAACGTCGTTCTTCAGGAGCTCGGGATTCCTCTAAAGACCCGGACGTCAAGTTAGGCTGCCGTTCGGTAGAATCCAGAGTGGCGTATGATGGAGGAGTGATCTACGAGCTAATTTCGAGACAATCTTCGGGGATCTTTCATCATCCTGCCTGACGTACCGCCTCTTCTTCGATAATTTATCGGAATGGCTTACATGCCCAACCTTATCGATCCTTTTTAAAGAGGCGACACACACACACACACACATGTGAAACTTCAATCCTGCAACTTCTTTCATCGTAACGCGGCTCGAATAGCGATAACCGGTCGCTTTTAAGAGGATGAACGTGGGGAGAAGGTTAATCGAATTCGAAAGTGGAAAAGCGAAAACATGGTAACGACGATGAAGGTGTAGTATAGACCTCTTCTCGTCCCAATTTTCTCCTAGACAAATAGAGTTTCGATTTCATTCGGTTCACGCGATCCTGCGATAAATCCGCGAATTAAACGTGAAATAGAGAATTTAGAGAGCGTTATACAGAGTTTCCATTTTCGATAGCGTTCTTTTAATTCTTCGCGCTATAGCTGCGATTACGCGTGACTTTTATTGGTATCAGTTTCACTCGACGAATGTGTATTTTATAGCGTGCGAAAATTTTCGATAAAATGCGATTGGCAAAAATTAGGAAGGCTTTGCCTCGTTTATATCGAGTGTCGTATACCTCTCTCTTATCTTTCATTAGTTTTTAGTCATCCTGCCTCCTTTCCTTAACTGTAAACAAATCCGCATCATCCTAACGTTAGTCACCCCGAAACCTAGACCTCCACATCATCCTTTACTTTTACTCATCGCTGAACCTAGACCTCACCGCCTCTCCCTACATTCACCTCTGAGACCAACCCCTACTCTCGTACTTACCTTTTCCGTCGAAACAGCAGATTTTTGTCTAGTGGTCTTCACGCACCGAACGTTACCGAACTGTCTAATAAAGTCGAATAGTACTACGCGCAGAACAGCTCCCTTATTTCGCCCCAATTCCCGTCAGGCTCTCCTACCGCGTACCTATTGAATATAATAAACCAACGCAAGGAATCGCGAGCCGCGGAATACAACACGAGTTTGCACTACTGAAGTCTGATCGTACACGGTGTACTACTACTGAGAATCAGTGATCTCGTCCTGTCGTATAGCCTTTTTTTGATTTTCATTTCTAAGAAAGTGATTTCTTCGATTCTTCTGTTAAATAAATTTACTCGGTGCTTTTTCAATTACACACTTTTCCATTCTCCCGGAAAGAAGCCTGGAACAGTTTCCTCGTGATTCCATAAATTCCCTCAAATGACAAAGTTTAAAAAAAAAAGTTCGAGGCCAATGTTGCGCATACATTACAAACTTCTCCTGTTTGCAAAAAAATACAAGTTCGTGCAACAATTACTTAACCAGCGACAACAAGGACAGCAACATTTTTTTCCACAGGGTAAAGAAAATATCTATCGAAGAGTAGAAAAAAAAAAATTCGACGCGAAACGACATTTAGTAATTACCCGCACGCGTTACTTACGAAACGAAGTAATTTACGACGGAAACCCTTGATGATTTTCCATCAACTCCCTGGTATAGAGTTTGAAAAAAAGTTCATTGTTTACTTACGCGAATATAACACACACACACACGCGAAAAAAAAAATAGGTTTCGTAGCCTTCTATCGAAGCACATGTTTACAAACGACTTTACCGAAGTGCAATTTAATTTTAAAGAGAACTCGATTTCGCCAGCAGCAGCAGCCGAAGGGACACGCAATTTAGACCGAGCCAACTAAAAGCATCAACGATGAGGCGCTTTGAAACGTTCACGGGGACCTGTCTAACAAGCTTCCCGTTTCGGTGCCACAACGTATGCTCGACACGTGCTTATCAACGTCACAAACGGCCAGCGAGCGTACGGTGATAACGCAGTTAGGGTGCAACCTAGGGCGTAGTTTAGAACGCATGCGAATGCGTCCGAGTATCATCGTGTTGACATCTCTAATGCTATTACCAGGGGGACCGCTGATGAAACGCTTTTAAAAGACGTTCCTCGGTGGACGTAGGTGTGTTTTAACGAATGCTGGATGCAGGATATCGCATTTGTTATGGCGTTTTTGATATTTTAGATTTTTAGGTGGGAATAGTTGAAAAGTGAAGTCAAAGATTTTTTCCTTATTCTTATTTTCAAGATAATACATTTAATTTCTGTTTCATATTCACTGATATCTTAGATTTGTATATGGCAACACTTGAAAATTGAAGTCAAAGATTTTTTCCTTATTATTAACTATTGCACAATGTACAAGAAAATATTACTTGAAAATAGGAAAACGTAATAATCTCATAATAATCATAAAAATATAAAGGATTAGAATAATTTATCAATAATCTAGTCAACTACAGTCAGTATTCAAAAAACTTGCAGAATTTTTATTACTCCCAACGCTAACTGAGATAAATCATAAGCCACCATTTTCTTATACATCTGAGAAGAAAAAAGAAAGAAAGGAGAGAATTTATTTGAAGCTTGCTTGAAGAAATTATTATTACACATTGGAATTAACTTGAAATTGGAAGTGTAAAACTAATAGGCAAATATTTGTTCTCCGCGGGAGCACGGTTCCCCTGTATTTTCAAGGGTTTGTAAGTAATACGAACATTGTGATAGCTTTAATATCGCGGAGTACTTCATAGTATAACTCATACGGGATCGAGTTACACCGCGCGTGCATCATCGAAGCAACTTTCTATCTTCAACCTTGTTCAACTAAAATGAAAATTCAACTTACGGTCAGCGTGAAAAAAAACTTCGATATTGACGATGCAACGCTTAAAGCTTTCACTTGTTAATTTCTAAACTTAGCCAAAGTTCTGTTATTCTAACATTCGGTATCGATTTAATGCAAAAATACACACCGTCAGATCTTCACACAATCGTTAATAATATTTTTCTCTTATATATTTAACAACGACCTTTGTTAATTTTTCAGAAAAGAAAATTTTATTCATAATTTTTGAAGAATAGCTGTTGCCAACGTATATGAAGGATATTAAACGAACAGAAGCAATAAAGAGGGCGAAGAATGTTCTTTCAAGTACGAAATATATTTATGCCTGGACGCACTCAATTATTGAGGCACATTTTTCTTCGTGTACTTTTACCTCCCAACATTATTAATACCAGCAGACTCCATTTTTCTAAATAAAGCAGCAACGTAGTGTAATTCGTGGCTTAATAACATACGGTTAGGTCTCACGGGGCTGAACATATTTTTATTCGTTTACCTCGTCTAACCTCGAAAACTTGAGAATTCTAACTTCTAAATTAAACTTTAATTGCGTATTACAGTTTTTCACTACAAAAAAAAACCCAAGCATGCAAATTTCAATGTTCACAATTCTAATAATCCAACAGAATCGACTATTTTCAAGAAAATTTAACCAACTGTATTTTCGTTCCGTTTGTTCGTATAAAAACACGAAAGTAAGACGATCCTGTATTGACGAGGTTCAACAGTGAGTGAAAGAATATTTTCGATCTAGTCGACCGAACGAATAGAAAAAAAACTGCGTTATAAGCACACGAACACGACTTCCGAAAATTCTCCTCCAATGTTATTTCCAGGAATTCACAAGCCTCGAGGCGAAGTTTGTTTTCAATAACAACACGCGAGTCGCCAATACGCCTCGCGTTGTAAACAAAAAAGTGTTTAGACCAAGGAAGGGCATCCCGGCCTGGCAGGCATACCAACGAGCTCGATAGTATGTAGTTGTGAAAAACACATAGCCAAACGACAGAGGCGCACGCGGCATGGCACCGGCGAGTGACCGAGACAGACAGATCATCGTTCGAATCGAAGCCAATTATCGGCGTCAGCGAGAACTGCCAATCGAATAAGGAACTCGATCCCCGCGGCTACTCCGTGGCAGATACGGAAACACCGTCATATCCGTGCTTAAACGACGTTCTACGTCGACGATGGTAGGAAAAATAAGAAGGAAAAAGGAAGAGAAACAAGAGACAGGGAGAAAAAGAAGGAAAGATTAAAACAGTAGTATCCTTACCTTTCACGTCACGACGAGGTGCACGCGAAATCCGACCACGCCATTCTCTGTCTCGAGCACAGCACCGCACTGCACCATATATATACACAGAACACACTTCAACACATCTCCACCCCCTACCGAACAGCTTTTCTTCCGAATCTTTCTCTGCTTCTCTCGTATTTCTCTCGTTACTTGTCTATTTCTTCCTCACCATCTTTGTTTCTCGATTTACCGGTTACTCTCTCTGTTTCACCCGGTTGCCGTTCCTTGTCGAACCCTTCTACCCTCTCTATATCCCTCTCTCTCTCACTCTTTCTCGATCCCTCTCACCCTGTCTCTCTCTCTCTCCCTCTCACCCTTTCTCTCTCTTTCAGCGACCGGCAGGAAACCTTTTCGTCGGCCTCCCTTTTCTCCGGCACCCTTTCTTCTTCTCGTTATGATGTTGAACTAACGACCGAGCCGCACGATATCCGCAGCACCGAAGGATCGTGACGTCCACGGCGTTCGTCGACGATACAGGCGGCGTAGGACGAGGTTAGGAGGAAGAGGAAGAAGAAAAGGAAGCACCTCCCTGCGGCACGCGCGCGCACGAGAGAGAGAGACAATCCAGCATCCAGCTACGCCCGTGACAGCGTCTGGGCAACTACTGAGGACGATCTGCGCGGTTCCGGCGCAAGCTTTCGTTCGAATTTTGACCGGCTGCAGCGCCACCGTAGTTATCCCTTTTCGTTAACGGTTCACTATGGTGCGCACCACCGTCCGCGGTTCACCGCCGTCACTTCTCGTGGTTGCAAAAAGTCGTTCGGTCCATCGATGGGTATATATTTCATTTCGATTCTAAGGAACCTTAATTTCAGATTCCTACGAATCTAATTACGTATATTTCTTTCGTTTCCGTTCATTCTATCGTGAACGGTGGGACGCATACGTCTCGTTTAAATATTCGAATAGGAATTCGCCTCAATTTCGTATCCATTACACTCTCGATGATCGAAAGGTAAATAGAAAATAAAAGAAGAATAATTTGATCAGAAAAAAGTTGAAAGGGTAAGACTTTTAAAAAGTTTTATTTTTTATATTACTTTCCCTTTTCTAATTAAAGTTGCAGGAATCTTTACGAGTAACTTCATATTAAAATTGCGTATAATTTACGAACTTTATACAAATGCTTCAGCAAAATAAAAAGTACTATGTACTAATAAAACAAGCATATTTACTAAACGTTGAACAGATTCCAACTCGTTAACGCAGCAACGTGCTTTTAATCTTTTAAAATGTATAACTAAATCACTATTAAAAAAGGAAGTTTATTTTCCGCATGATATTTTTTATGATTTAACCTCACCATCGACTAAGCATTGCTTCGTAAACATTGCCATTAGACCTTTAACATTTCCGTTTACACTTTTCATCGAAAATGTCAGCGTGTTCATGAACTGGATATAAAATTAACAATATATCGATCAACAATAATCATCGTTAAAAAATAATATGAAAAATTGCGTCGGTACAAACGTCTCTGTACATCGTAACTACGTATTATTTTATACATAAAATTACATAAAGTGTAAATATTGCAGTAAATGTTTCATCCTATAGTAAATTCGAAGTAAATTTGTATAAAGTATAAAAGAGAAAGGCGTTGATCTTAATCCACGGATTTGACCGTGGAATTTTTACAACTGAACAGTGTAAATCGTGCGACAATGAAAGCGGGGAATTCTATTTTATCCATTGCACCATACTGTACGATCGTCGGTAAATTCTAAAGTATACGAGACAGAATCTTTTTGCGATTTACGAGCGAAAACCAACGTGTAAATAGGGACGAATCACCGATATTTCGAGAAACTATACCGTGACTAGAATCACGATGCGTACAGGACTGCCTTTGTTTTTCATTCTATTTCTTTCCTGTAATCTCTCCGGTAGTTCTGATAGGATATTTTGGGATCTTGATGACGTAGCTGTATTCATTATTCATGTGTTATTATATAAAACAACGTATACTCGCAAGTAAAACAAGCAAGATATTGCAGTTTGACCGTTTATAATATCGTTCATGCATCATATTATTGTTATCGATGCAAATTCTTAACGATAACTATTCTTAACGATAAATTATAATACACAAAAATACATTAATTTTCATAATTTTCAGATTTACAACTTCGTGTATAAATTAAAATTTACATTTTTATAAAAATTCGTAACAGACGAGTAGAATATTTTTTCAAACAAAAATAAATACCGTAAACTAAATAGAAGTGTTACTGAATTAAATGCACACGAACGACAAATTACTGTTAATTGTAAAAATTATCCAAGCTTCGCGAATTTTTAATATATAAATACAATATAAATTGCGATACAATTTTTGAAATTCTAATAAGTTGAGAAATAAACGGAGAATTAATAAAGCAGAAAAAAATTAACTGAATAATTATGTTTGGTCGAGCGAAAAAAAAAATCAATATACAAACGAAAAGCCATGGACAAAGTGTCGATTACGGGATCGAGACAAACCAATGGGGCATGAAACTACAGGGTTTGTGGTCACTCGATAAATGCTCCTCCACACTGAAACGATCCGTAGGCTTTATAGTGATGCCCGCTTTTCGCTTTTCTTTAATGGCATACATGGTAACACTCTCAGGGTGAAAGCTAATAATGGAGCAACCTATTACGACCATATCAATGTGCCTGCTCACGTAAGAATTCCCATACGTCACTGTGAAAGGTAGTATCTTTAAGAATTATCCTGAAACCTGTGATCGACAACCGGTTGAAATTTTCGCCAGTTACCGAATTAAGGTAAAAGCAATGGTATTTTAAATACATTTGTATCGTACGTGCGTTTAGTTATTCTTTTTATCATAAAATAAGAGAATTACAGGGATAATTGAAATTTATCGAATTTCTCGAATTCGGAACCAGGTTGAAAAATTTGATACGCCCTGTTTCAGAAAATTCCGCTGTTATGAAATTTTTTTATAATTTTCAATTTTTAAGGATATACGCTGTTTTTCGAGACTAATTAGATTTCCGGGGAAATTGTTTGGATGGAATGCGTATATATTTTTTAATATAAATAAAACTAGAGAAATTTGTGAAAATAAAATAACGATTTATTGTCTCTGTTATATTTTCATTATCCTGTTAAACATTTTTATATTAACATTACTTTATTTTCTAAAGTACAGATAATTTAGAACACAGTAATTTAGACAATGGAAAAGAAAACTGCTTTTATTGCGTTACAAAAATACATTTGTTACAAAAATAATATAATCTGTTGTGGCGAGCATAACATGTCGCTTACGTATCAAAAAAAGTGAATTATATATTTATACCTTACAAAAATAGTATTAAAATGTTATAAACAACAGCACTTCCTAAATTTATAAATAATCAATACTGCTTCTTTTTTTTTAACTTATACAAACTATGAACGAGTGTTATTATTGTCTTAATTTTACTGTGTAAAAGTAAAGAATACAAAGAAATGGCACTATTACGTAACCTACAAATACATATACACATAAAATATCACTAGTTTATTTAAATTTTACTCTTACTTCTGAAAAATTTAAATAAGAATAATACTGTTAGACACATTGCAGACCAATGATCTGAAAATGACAAAAAAAAAAAAATTCAATGGCCAAGCTACGTCGCATGTTATTCAAAATCGTCAGTAAGTCAAACTTACCAAGCGTTCTTATGACTCTTCATATGATTTTCGAAACAACCGAATCTACTATAAACTTTATTGCACACGTTACAAGTGAATTTCGGTGAATCATTGCGAGTGTAATGATCGTGATGCGCTATTTTTAAATGATGAACTAAAGACGATTTATGTCTGAAAATAAATTTCTCTCGATGTAGTTAATAAATTTTGAAACTCGCGGTCTTTTATCCGAAAAATATATACGTCTTAAGCTCCTTTTTTTTTTACCTATACTTTCTCATGCATATGTCGCATTTAAAAACTTCTTTAGAATGACGGCAGTCAATAACATGCCTATTGAAATGATATTTTCGATTGAAAAGCCTACCGCAGGCTTCGCAAAGTATTACGTACATGCCTGAAAAGAAATTCAATGACAAATACCACATTTTACCACGAATGAAACCTTACATTTACCTCCGTGTGCTCCCGCCCGATGCATTGCCATTGTACGCGCGTTCGAAAACGTTAGTGGACATGATAAACATTGAAACCTACAAGTGTATTTTGTGCTTTACAAGACGTAAAAATTTCTAGGAAGAAAGAAATGTTTGGGGTACGCCGCGCATTACGAAAAAATCAGTTGTAAAATCATTACTAAAACATGTGCGTAGTATAGATTTCACTTTAACGAACAATTCAAACAAGCAGGTTAACAATATAAAAAATGTTACAATAGTTCGCAGTGCAGAATATTCTTTACGAAAATGTTCTTTTCGTATCGCGTAGACGTCACTCAAAAAATTCACTTACACTTTTTTATTGGTATCACATTCGTTATTTTCTTCAATTTGTGATATATCTGTATCATATGAATTTTCCATTTGATCGTCAAACATATCTAAAATATCATTGAAATCTATTTCTTCGCTAGAATTACTGATTGCATTGAACTTTTGTTTTTCTTGTGTACATGTAGTGTCTATGTACATTTCAGTCTCTGTACCTTTTTCATTCTGACAACTTGTAAATTGTGCTAATGGTGAATCAATATTATCTGCATATTGTAAAAGATTTTCGGTATCAATTGTTGAGGCATATGTGTTTTCACTATTTAATTTCTTAAAGGTATCATCAATTACATATATACTGGGCTTTGGCTTTGTAACATTCAAATTTAAATCATTTATCTTAATTTGTGATTTTTCATTAGGCATTTCTGCTAATAGTTTATCTTTTGTAAGAGTGTGAACTCCACTATTTGTAATCCAATTTGAAGCACAATTCCCAAAGCAATAAGCACAGCAAGAACCAGATGAACATTTTAAATTTTTATCATTCGAGAGAGTATCTTCATCCTGATATTCTGAGAACATTAAAGATTGGTTTATTGAAATATTCTCCTTATTCAGTTTATTCTGCATGAAAGGCTGATATACTGTTGTATCAAATATATCAATTTCATTAGCATTTATATCATATGCCTTTTCATAAATGTCATTATCACATGTTGTACTTAAAGAAGTACAAGTTTCATCAGAATCTGTTATGTGCCATCTTAAACTATCTAAACTGATGTTGTCATAAAATTCATAATTAAACTTATTAAATATTTCATTACTTGAGAAATCAATTGAATCTTGAAAGTGTTTAGATTCAATATCTTGTAAAGAAGAAAGAGCCTGACATTCAGAACTAAAGTCTGTTGATACATTGTAAGTCACTGGTAATAATGGATTTTCTTTTTGTTCGTTTCTAAGAACAGATATTCCTTGCTTTTTACTCTGGTTTTTAGTACATTGTTTTAACTTCTTTCTTTGTGTGGAAGCTTCTAATTTTGTTGATGTATGGAAGATGTTTTCACCTAACATTTCTTTCTTGTCATCAGCAAAGGAAGGAACATTCCAATTAGGCAAATCATGCCATATATTTAAAAAAGTAAGTTCTTGTTTTCTTTTATGTGATATTCTTTTATGTTTATTTTCTTTTTTAACAAATATATTTTGAGAAAGGGAATGCTTTGATAATGCACCAGTGATGTGTACATTTTCATCCAAGTTTCTTACATCAACAAAAGTTCTAGGTAATTTCAAACTACTTTTTAAAATATTAGGAACTGTACGAGATGTTTTATTAAATATCAACATTTGTTGATCCATAGTTGTTTTGTGATGTATATTCAATAAGTTTAAAATCTTTTAGTTTTGTGGAAATACTTTTTCCTTTAATTGTATTAATTTTTTCAAAGTGAAATTATTCTTCATTCTGGGTTATATTTAATGAAATTATATTTGGATAGACATTTTCAAAATTTTCATAGTTCAAATTCCAAAAGGTATTAATTACTTATAATTATATTTAATTATAATTAAACATAACATAATTACTTAGTTTTTAAAATTGTCATTCACAAAATTTGCATATCCCAATTAAGTTTTTTTAACTTTAATCTAATTTATATATGTCAGTTATGTTTTAATTTTTAATACGGCTAAAAAACAAAATAAAAAAAATAGAAAATGTTAAATTACTGTATGTTTCTTCATACAGAATGTAGCAAAAAACAAATAAAGAATTAATTACGCTCTGACGAATTATATTAGGATACGAAAAGTAAAATAAAAAAAAAATATATTGCATAAGTTAGTGAATTAATAAGAACAAAGAAGCAATTATTGCAATGTCAAAATAATACGACGAATATTTCTGGCAATAAACTGATGATTTTAATTTTCAAATTCTATTTTTAATAAGCAGGTTATCGTATGTAAGCTTACCTAGCTTTCCTGACCAGTGTTTAAAACGGCGTTCAAATTTACAATCACAATTACCGCCATTTTTCCTACTTTAAATAAGTGTTTCAATGAAAAGTATAAATAATGTAACTAACGCGAAAAATCACACATGTACGATGTCTACGTGTTTTTTATTTAAAATTTTAGTCGTGCAAATGTCAAATTTAAACTGTTATTTTATAAGTTCATCGTATAATACTACGAATGGCTTCAGTCAACGGCAGAAACTAAACTGTTCTTTAAGCCCATGCAAAGAAGCATGGTGTGGCCTGTGTGTTAGATAAAGGAGTGTGAAATCTGAGAAGTCCTTGAACGACAAAACGTAAACATCTGCAAAAACTACACAGGCCTAAGATCACAGGCATGTACGTACAGCCCTATTCATTTCTGTTAGAATTTTCAAGAAACATTCTGTTCCTCATTTTTCGTTTGCAGTATTTACATATATACAGTCATCGAAGTTTGTTAAGAAAATGAACATTGAATTCAATGGAGAGTTTAGTGTACGTAACAACGTCATGTGTTCTTCGTATTTTCGTGAGTAGAATATTTGTAAATAAGTCGTATTAATTGAAAAATTAACTTGATTAAAAAGAATAAAGTTAAACGATGTTTATCGGCAAATAAGGTTATGTTTTTTCGGTGCGTGATAGAAAATAATGCATGTTATATTCTAGAATAATAGTAGTCACTTTATGAAAACGTAATATCATAAAGGTGTAGAAAATGTGGAAGAAATGATAATTTAAAAACTGATAACGTGATAATAAAATATTTTATTGTGGTAGTACGATTATTATTTATAGCAATAAAATTTCGAAAGTAACAGAAAATGATGTATGTATATGTGACAACAGTGATAAAATAAATAAAATGTTTTGTGCTCTGTGGTTTCCAAACATTGGTTCAGCTTGCATAAGTACCAGCATAAATACAATTACCAATCGTTACTCTCAGCTAGATCATCAGTTTCATGCCTTAATGTAGAAAATAATACATCCTTGATTTTTGGCTTTGGATCTTCCGTAATTTTTGTTGGTACAGCTTTTATTTGTCCCAACATCCATTCCAGTTCTATGGCAATACCACAATTCATATTAATATTAATATAAATGGGAACAAATTTCCAGAATGAATTTTTCAGTAAATTGTATATACCTGCTTCAGTTAGCTTCATGCCTCTTAATTCTATTGGTCCAATTATCTCTTTCACCATATTTCCACTGTGGTAGATAAAAATAGTAGGAAGATTGCTATCTGGCCAGTTGGGAATGCAAGTAGTAGAAATGCTTTTTAAAAATTTAGTTGCAGGGAATTTTCTTGCTAGGTTTGCTAAATGTTGATTTATTAGTGTACAAAGGGGGATGCTAAAATAAAAGATATAATAAGACAAGGTTCTCCTTGGGAATTCAATTTTTTTATGCCATACCCAGCTTTATATAAATGAAGTATAACCCAAACATCATCTCCAGCATTATTCACTTCTTTAACATAATCCTCTGCTGATATTTCCTTAACTTCACCATATTTAGATTTGTTAGCTAGTTCTTTCATTTCTGCTATTCTCTTTCGTCGATATTCCAGTAGAACCTCCTCATCCTCTTCATCTTCTAATTCATCCAATTCATCCAGTCGATTAAGTACCACGCCCAGTTTTTTCATTTACTGCATTTTCCACAATATCAACTATCTGATCCTCGGTAATTTCCTTCTGTTTCTCAGGTATAATCCCTTTACTCCTGAGAATGTCATTCCACTGTGTATCTTCATTCGGATCTTGCTGTATTCAGAAAAGTTAGGTTATGTTAGTCTGTATAGTACAATATGTCTTACAGTATAGGTAGAGAATTTTTTAAAATATTTTATTCAAAAGTATTTGCACAATGGCGGATATATTTAAAATAATTTTTCAATTTTCTTCTGTAATATTTAGTATTTCTTATTTGCAACCAGGTATATTCATCCTGCCATAACCTTCATTAATGATAACTCTTTCTCACTTACCATGGTATCAAATTCTTAGAAAATTAATACGCGTACAAAGGAAGTGATTTACAGTATGAAAATTGATCGATTGACAAACTTAAAAATTTTCAATGTCACAATTCGCTTATATCCGAATGAGCTGTGACCGACAGCTGATCACGTTTCACTACAATGAAATATACTATACAGTCATACTCCTACCCTTGGCTTACGTGCATTTATGGTATCATCAATGACGCATTCACAGTCGAATCCCATTCTATTTAAAAACCATAGCATTAGTCAGTGGCGCCTCGGATAGTCTTATTAAAGTTCCGATATGTATTTTCACGTATTTACCTGTTGCACAATCAGGAACCTTAAAATTCTTATATTTTCCTGCCAATACAATCGATAAATGAATTTTGAGGCAAATGCAAAAATACGCGTATTACGTTATACTTACAAATTAAGTAGGAAAAAACGTTAAACATGAAATAGCGTCAACGTAGAAAGCAGCGAAACGTGTATGTGTTTATATTCTAATTGCTAAATAATAATGAATGAAACGTATCGTTCTGATGTCATCGTTACTTATTTGGAATACAATAGTTATTACGTGTTTACGTTACACTCGTTGACTGTACACCCAGTCGGTTGTAATCAGGGAAACCGGTTGATCGTGCAGCTGTGCTGGACCACGGCCATGTTTTGTGTCCCGCACCAAATACCTAAAACCAGTTTGGGGCATCACCTCGATAATATTTATAGTCGTATGGAATGATAATTTTGTGTTTGTAACGGTACAACGTTAGGCATCGAGTACTATGCTCACGTTTAGATTTCACGTTGATCAGCTCATTCATCATTCACATTTCTTCTCTTTCTCTTTATACTACTTCTTTTTCTCGCGTTCAATTTTATGCACAACTTTCAAGCTCGATAGTATATCGATATGAGTCTCATTTGAAATTCAAATGAACGAAAACGGGAGACTAGAATCCTTGCATAAACATATCATCTTAATTGCCTTTACTCCATCTCGAGGCGAAGCTTACAGTAAGTTGCGTAAAATTGACTAATCGATAACATTTGCATAGAGTAATTCGACGAAACGTGGGTATAGGTATATACGGTGCAGTTTACAAATTCACGTCGACTTCATCGACACCCCTCTGTTTAATATTCCGAGTTAAATTTCAGGAGCTGGGCGAGAGAGAAGGAAGGACGAAAAAAACGAAGAAATTTTCAGAAGTTGCAATCTTGCTCGCCACCGGAGAAAGAACGCGGATTAATTTCCCTTTGAGTACGCGCGGCATATAAAGCTTAACGCGCGCGCATACATATAACACCGTGGAACGCTCAATCCGTTTTCACGCTGCTTTCACGTCGCCCGTATACCTTTGTGTGGTGCGGGCCTTTGTTGCCTGGACCACATAAAAGAAGTGTGTTTCCTCAATGGCGGCCAGGCAAATTGCAGAAAACGTGCACCCGCGCGCGACTTGCCGGCGCACAAAAACTGGAGAGGCGAATTTTCGTACCGATAGATAAACAATGTCGAGGGAAAAAAGTGTGTAGATCTATCGTGAGAATCCTCCGTTTGATTGAAATCTAACTGAAAAGAACCTTTGTACCGATAGATGAGTATCTCTTGATTGAAAATATGTCCGTTTATCTTTGAACTTATTTGCTTTTACATTCGACCATATTGAGTCTTATAATTCTTATACGAAATTATCTTATCGAATATTATCTATTCTGTTTCTTTTTTTTTTTTTTTTTTTTTCGTAGAAAGAGAGAATTGAAATTTTGTAGTTTTATAGATCAGTTGAGTGAAAGATGTAAAGCAGATTTTCTATGGAGTTATCTAGGAAATTGACGCAACGAGAACAAACAGCAGGAAAATACTGACCAAAGCTTCCCTTGCGTGAATGTATATTGCACGCACCGTCTGTCGTTATTGTTTTCCATTGTTGCGCTCTTTTTTTCGAAAGCATTGTTTGACGGTGCTTCCGGTTGCGTGCTAGATTGGAACTTAACCCTGTATTTAGGCGCGGTGTTGCTCGATTCAATGGAATTTCTGTCGTTTATTCGTGCTTATGTATCGTGATAGTGTTAGGGTCTACAATTATGTAATTTCCATCAATATTTTTATGTTTGCTGTTTAAACATGAGCCACGTGGAAGCTAGAATGATCAACTCGACTTTTTGATATTTTCCAAATTTTGGCAAATCAAATTAATTTTTCATAAATGAAACAAATTTAACAAATTTTATTTTCTGGAGTTTGTTACTTTGGCTTCTGAGTGGTAAGAAGATTACTTCTACGGTTTCTGATATTTGTTATGTCAAATGACGTGTTGTCCATTATGTCGTACACGTTTCGAACATTGCACCCGTAAATGCATAAATGACGTGCATCCATTGTCTGGCTTCGGTTCATCCGTCGATGTACCACAATCTCGTGGTCAGCTCCATCGTTGTGTCGATACCTCTTTGCGGTTAAGTATCGACGCTTCTCTGACCTTCTTTCCTCGAATTACGCTCTGAAGATCGAGCTTGCCAATTCTCGAGGTGTGTTGAAAATGGCAACTGCAAGTGAAATCCGCGGGTACACGTAATAGACAATTTATACTTTTGTTAGCGCTTGGCAGCGAGAACATCGAGGTGTTACGCGAAATTAAGTTGTATCTTTCGTCCTACACTGTATAGAGTGGTCAGGCACAGGCGTACTAATCTTCAAGGGTACGTATCATTATGTTTAACAGATATAGATTTAATTTTTGTGAATTTTTAAGTCATTTTCTTCTTCGATTTCCGTTTAACCCTTTACACTACAGTATTTCGATATTTTCTTCCACCAAGTCGGCAATTACGAACGTAATTTGTCACGAAAAATTTAGGACTACTTCTCGCCGAGAAAATGAAATATCAGAATTGATCACTTACGCGTCAATTTGCAAAATTTAAATTTCACAATTTTTCCAAGTTTTCAAATTCTATACTTTACAATTTTATAAACTGCGAATTCCCGGAACGAATGCTCACGCGAGCACGACACGCATTCCAAGCGGATAGAGTTAGAATACAAGAATTAAAATCACAATTAAAATTCCAGCAGAGAGATAAACGCACATGTACACCTAATCTCGTATTTATTAAACACTCATTTACATCGATACACACTACAAACGACACTCTGTACCTTTTCTTTGCACAAAGAGCTTCAAAGCAAATCCGCAGGAAATCATAAAACACGTTGCACGGCAATTATCTTCGATCCAGATGCAACACGGACTCCAAACTCGTGTTTCAACACAGCAAAAAAAAAAATGAAGTAATAATAATTACTGATCTAATTTCCATGAAATGTTCTGTCGAAATTGCAATTAATCCTATCGATCCGGTGTTTTGATCAATTAACCCTCGACGCAACGAAATGAATTTCCGTTGTCCGATACGAAGTTGTTGCAACGAATGTACGCAGTGTGTGCGCGCCTCTTCGGTGACGTTCGCCGATAACAGCTGATATATTTACAGCCTCCTGGTTACGTTCGTTCGAACAACACGGGTAGTACGGCGCGTACAGAAGGACAGCGTGAACGGCCAGGATGTGCGTGTATTTACAAATCACCTGTGTGAGGCACGCACGTAAGGCTGTCCGTAAACTCGCGTATCCTGGATCGCTTGGTCTTTTTGCAATCTGTTTAATGATCCTCGCATAACTCCGTAGAGAATAACGCACCGCCTAACGAATGCAGAATTTCTTCTCCATTAGAATGAAAAAAAAAATTGTCCGTATCCTTGAGAGACGTGGCAACTAACATTTTCGAACTTTCTCACTATATCTGGCTTGTTTTCCTTTGTTGGTAATTGCTGAATTATTATGCCTGTTAAGCACACGGTTAAGGTATACCTGTATTTACGAGGCGAACAGAATGGTTCTCTCGAGAGTGAGTGTGTGCGAGATTTAAAAATTTCACCAAGTATAGAATTTTAGATTTTTTTCCCTCTCTCCTCGGAAATTAAGATATCCCGCGTGCAATCTGCGTTAATACACAAAGAACAGGCGTTAGGGTTTTTATTCATGCCTTTTTAATCCACTGACCTAAATAATTTTAATTGCTTGTTTACGTCGATGGGATAACTATCATTCATTATGGGGTATTCATTAAAGTACGAAAACGTGTTAAGTTTATTCGAACGTTAGCATTCTTCGTTTCATCTCTACCTGTGCGCAATTGATCAAACAACGTTGTAGTTTTGCCAACGGTACACTTGTATTATAATTACTGAATAATTCCTCAAAAATGCGTTTCATGCATAGCGAAATGAGCGGGTTGAAAATGAATACCGGACGAATTTTCATTAAAATTACACACGCATTCGTAATTACAAAATTCCTATTACTCGTTTGCTTCGTCGTAATTAATATCCGAAAAGATTCGTTTGAAGTCAACGTCAAGTTTCGCGGTAAACGTTCGATCGATGTAAGAAAGAAAAAGCAGAAAAAATAAAATCAACGTTTAAACGTGAAATCGTGATATCGTATTGGAGACACGTGTTCTTAGGCGTTTCCTTGTTTGCTCGTTTGGCCAAGAGAATTTGCATAATCACGCGTATGGCATGACAATACGACGGAAGAAGGGAAAGGGAGAGAGGTGACAGCGGCCTTGTAGGCGTGTACGTGTGCGATAGGGCCCCCAGAAGAGGCGTAAACGAAGGGAACGCGACGACACAGGGAGAATTGGAAAACTGAACGTCTGACGGAATGTGTGCTCGAACACTCTCCGAACATTCGTATGGTTCATCTCATCTAGGATGTAGCCCACCGGAAATTTGCAGTTAGCTCCATTCCTTGCAGGGTCGATCCGCCCAGGGATGCCTTCATTCGCGTGATCGTTAATTGCCCCCCTCTTCGCTGATGAAAATCTAATTTTCACTCTGTGTCGCCGATTGGCTTCGGATCGACGATTAAGTGGACTTTAATTGCGCGTCTTTGCTCCCGATGTAAAGGAGTAATTAAAGTAAACGTTGCATTGTACTGGTGCAAATGATTTTCTGTTCTCTGTGCAAGATTGGTTAGATTCTTCTCTGCATAGATTTCACTTCAGCTTCGTAATTGCTGGTTGCTAGATTTCTGTTAACCCTTTACCTCGTGATTTCCTCATCACTGCGTATGTTAGCCTCGATTATTCGTTGTTTTAACCCTAGTTTGTTACGTTCGAATATGCATTTGAGGTCTTTGGGTGAAAAAAGGCGCAGCCTAGGTTT